AGCCTATAATGCAGTACTTGGTGCCTGTGCAGTCAATAGCTTGAGTGCTGTCACATGGTAATGTACACAGCCTTATGTAAGTTTCTACATGCTTAGTTTAGTGAGCCAAATAATAATTTTCAACCAACTTCTACACTGCAACCTTTTTTTTTTTTTTAGAGTTTTGGATAAAGTGGGTATGTGTTAGAACCTTGGATACATTTTTAACTATATCTATGTCCCTGCCGGGGAGATTTCCCCTTACTTCCTGGGCCAGTGACCACACAGTAAGTGGAAAAAAGTTTCCAGATAAGGACGCGGACATTGATTAAAAAAAGCCTGGTGGTTTTAAATAAATATACAGTATATATCTGATTAATCAGGTTTCATAAAAGGTTAGGTACAGGATTTTGGTTTCAATAAAATAAAATGTTCTCTATTAATTCTGTTGGAGCCTAGTGGAACCAATGTTCTAATGGAGAACATTGAGGATCCCCTTGTATAAAAATATGCCAACAAAAGCGTTTCTTGTTCATACATCAGTCTCAAAAACTTTATTTTAAAGCTATTATACATGTGTATATTATTGTTCTGATCATTTTCATTATACCTGAGCAAAGTGATATTTTTCCGAGGAACTTCCTTCAGTTCACTCAGTCCGGCTCCTTTCCCAGCAAAGCAGTAATTCGGATTGTAATCTGTCATGATAATGGAACTACGGATCTTACTAAGTTTGTACTCCGTGCTTTGTAATCTCACCCGTGCGCCCTCCAGCTGCTTCTTCTTGCGGTGGTAAACTGCAATAGAAAAAGGTGAAAATGCACATTTACAAACAGAAGCATACTGGGTGTATTGATGCTTCCCACAAATTCCTGGAGTCAGAAAGATGGGAGCTTCCATTGCTCCATTTACATGTGATCTGCTTGCTAGTGGATTCTACATAACTTTTCTAGACAAGCTTATGGGAGATCATCTGCGCTCTTATGGCTATAACCACTATACTTATGGATTCCTCATAAAGATGCATGAGGAGTAAACCTGGAGCTTTGGCTATTAGCAGTGGGGTAGTTACCAACATGGCACCTGTGGGCCTGTGACTAGGGAACTAGAGTAATGTGGCAGCACCAAAGCTTAAAGTGACTCACAAATGCCCAGATTTGATCAGAAGAGAAAAATAAAGTACGAAAGGATAATTACATTTGGTAGACTTAAATGTGACCTTGTCACCAAAGGGTCACCTATAAAAAAAGGCCATCCCGATAAAAGAAGCCCATCTTTAATGAATGACGTCCACCCAGCGCAGCCAATCAAGATAGCCGACAATTGCGAACAAGCAGGTAGCAATCCTTTATTTCGAAAGAGTAAAAAAAAGAAAGCCTGCGTGCTTGCAAGTTTTCTATTTTTATTTAGAGTTCTGCTTTAACTGCAGCAGCAGAGAAAGGTCAGGTCACCAACCTGGCTGTGCTTTTCAGCTGGACTGGAAGGAAAGAATTTCAAATTCTTGGTCATTTAAAACAGCTCTCATATATCTAGTTCAACCACTTGCCTGGAGTTCAGCTTTAAACGGCCTTTTCCTCTGAATATGGTACCATTTGCATGCATTGATTCAGAAATACTGATCTCTTTATACAGTAAATACTATACATAATCTCTTTGTGTATTGATGTCGACCTCAAGGGGAGAATTGATCTAGTCACTAGCTCATTTACAGTGCAATCCACAAGCAGAAGACATGAGATGGAATTTATATCATGACACTTACTGACAGGGTGTCAAGAACAATCAAGGGGGAATAAAGCAAGTCAATATGTCTAGTGTTTCTGTATCCAACAAGTGCTTCCAACTTCATTATGGTGATCAGTGGGGGGTGGACATTAGGGTATGGAAGGGGGTCTGGTGTAGTTATCAAGAATGTCATTGAATAATTTCACTACTCATATTGATTCATCTGGTGCTAATATTAGGAAATCCATACTTTAATGGTTGCGTGTTCTTAAAATCCAGTCAAGAATCCAGCAAAAATATATCAGATTGTGTGCATGTTTTCTTTTTACAGTATTTAAGAGCAAGACTGGACAAATCCCAGGAGCCAGGTCGCTAGTGCTGCTTTACATGGGGCCTAACTTTTGAGTTTTCTTTATTTGTTGTCAATGGAGCTGGCTCCTAAAATCAGACATCCAAACAGGAAGGCCCTTGTACTACTTACTTGTTGGGAGATCTAAATGAGAATGAACAGTCAGATTAAACTTTAAATGCAGGAATAATATAAAAAGGATTGACATACTTTTTCTTACCATTTGACTCATTTATGATAATATAATTTGTGCATTGTGAATGCAGACTTACCAAATGACAGACTTCCACAGGCAAAGATCACGCCAAGTATAACTGTAGCAATTAGAACAGCAAGAATAAGTGGAAGAGGAAACTGCCTGTCCGGAACAGGTCCTTTGGGTGCTGAAAAATAGTTGAAGAAAGGCTCATTTAATATTATCTCAGTGTTATATGACTTCTTCATAGAATAGCTAATATTTCAGACACAAATAATAATGAATAACATAAATGAACCCTTAATTGTGTATCAATTAGGGGTTGGTTTATATACCGGGGGACACCACTAGTACCTCTAGATGACATTGACGAGTATAGGAATTTCCTATACTCATCTGCACCACCTAGAGGTGCTAGTGCTAGTGCTGTCCAAGCGGCATCCACCCAGCATATCTTTCATAAATTAGCCCCTTATTGTAAGTAGTTTGATTTTTCTTTTGACCTACAGGTCAAAATAAGACTGGATTTATACAAAATTATGACTATTAATTCTTACATAATTATAGCTGTGCATCATTCATATATGATGTGGTCCCTTGTATAGCTTTACCTATTTGTCTGAGTTAAACACTATAGCTTGAGTATCAGGGGTCAGAGGTCACCTGCCACTTAGCAAGTCTGTCTTGCCCACTGTCCGACCTCATACACTGTCTCCTTGTACTTGTGTCTGCATGTCTCTTAAAGCTAAAATCCAGTCAGACAGGTAAATGCACCATTAAAATACATATGTTGGAGCTGTTTTATCTGCCATAGGATGTGTTTCTCTGTTTATCTATTCGTCAGATCTACACAATCTACACAATTCAGGTGACCTGAATTGCAGTTAGACAACAGAGTTGGGTCACCTCTCTGCCCCCAGCCTCTGAATGAACATTTAAGTAGCAGCAGCAGACTGATAAGGTAATCTCTGTGTTCTCTCGTCCTATCATGTTCCTTGTAAGCACCTGTTCATGCAGGACAATTAATTGACCCCATGCACTGCTCCTTCCTGTCTGAGGGCTGCAGTACAGGGGATTACAAGAAATTAATACCAAGTATGATTCTGATATGTACACTTGTTGCTGATAAAAGAAGTACTCTGGGGGGAAAAAAATAAATCAAAAACTTACCCTTCAAGCTGGACTACCTCTGCACTGCAAGGGTTAGGTGCTCATTTTGTCTATGGGGGCTCAAATAAAGCTGTATTACTCACCTGATCATCCCACTTCGCTGTGGAATGTCTCTCTGTGTCCTCACATCTAATGCAGGTCAATGGTAAGTTTTTTATTTTCCCCGGAAAAAACTTTAAAGACTTCTTTAAAAATTTTAAGACTGCACAGTTTTATTAATTTAAGAATGTAGATTCAGAATTTTGTATATGTCCAGTTGTGGTTGGTTCTCTTCAGTAACTAAAATTAAACTAGTTTCAAAAAGGCACACATAAGAAACTTTTTCTGGCTAGCAGCGGTCTTGTGGCCTGTTCATTTTAAAACGTAAACGTCTGACAGGTTTGCATTTAGTGTAAAGTTGGGACAATTTGTTTCTGAAACCAGGAAGATTTTTAGGTCTTTTATGGTTCAATGGTGTGTTTATACCAAGGAAAATAAAATACAGAAGAGATCAAATCAGAAGAAAAGTGTACAGAGTAGTAACAGAAAAAGGAGAAGGAGTAATGACGAAGGTTTTCCTTTTAATCTGCATAATATTGAATGGAAATCTGTTCAGCATTATTTGCATCTATAATAACATGATACCAAAGTCATTTCAGAAAAACATCAGTCCTTTGTTTCCTGTTTGTAGGGTCTGCATGGCAACTTCTTCTCCTCATCATGTAATAACTAGGTAAAACAGTCTTATTCTATAGATATATCAGGGGTGACATTGGGGGGACTTCCTTCTGATGAGAAGGGGGGACTCTCATGTGAAGGGAGGCTTCTGATGAGAAGGGGGACTCTGATATAAAGGAGGGCTCTTGATGTGAAGGGTGGCTTCTGATGAGAAGGGAGGACTGTGGGGGGAAGGGGGGCTCTGATGTGAAGGGGGATTTTGATGAGAAGGGGGGACTCTGGTGTGAAGGAGGGCTCCTGATGTGAAGGGGGGCTTCTGATGAGAAGGGGAGACTCTAGTGGATAGGGGTGCTCCTCATGTGAAAGAAAAGGCTTCTGATGTGAAAGGGAACTCTGGTGTAAAGGTGAACTCTCATATGAAAGTGGGGACTCTGATGTGAAGGAGGAAACCCCATGTCATTTATTTTATCTTTTTGCAAAGTTCCCGCTTTAAAATCAATAGCAGACCCTTACCTAGGATAAGGTCTAGTATGGATTTTGAGGGAGACCGCCCATCCTTTTATAAATCTTTACATTTATGTTTTATACATTTTAGTCTGAGGTGTCTCTGGGTTTTGCATACTTTGAAAGGGTGTTGTGACTCTAAAAAGGTTGAGAAACACTGGGCTAGATGCAGCGATGTGAAGGTGAGCACAGACACATTATTATTTTGGGTGTCCAGTAGTTTAGGTGATGACCTAAATTTTGCATTTGTACGATTCTTTCAAAACTTGATAAATTGTTAATCGATTACAGAGCTCTACAAAGCTGTCATCGACAAGGAAAGAAAGGTTTTTTGTTTAGGCTCAAGCTCTATGATCTAAAAGCTAATACGTTCCCTGCTTGCTGTAATGCAGGGTTAGGCAATCTTTGGACCACGAGCTGTGGTTAAATAACGAGTCCCATGAGGCATTGCAAGACTCTTGACAGCCACAGACCTGACTTCCAGAGGCAGGGGCATTTGTAATTTCACCACAGCTGGAGGGCCAAAGTTTGGCTACACCTGCTGTAGATCTTAAGAACAGAGCCCCCAACCCAATAAACCTATAAGAACCTGATAGCTACTTCCTCTTACAATTAAATCTCCAGAAAACAGAAGCCATAATCAAAGTCGGACAGTTTCCTACCTTCACAGGTTATGTTATCCACTGCCAGCATGGTCCCAGCCTCACACAGGCACACCACTCTCTGCTCCCTGTCCTTCATACAGCTCCCAGACTTGCAGTGACTGCAGTTCAAATAAAACTCAATACGCACTTCCCCATCATTCTCCGTTGCTGTAAAAATCAAAGAAATCTGAATACTAATATATTATTGTATGCATTTGGGAATGGTCACACAGCATGTTGGCATTGCATTGTCTTTTGAAAGGTTTTGTCCTAGCTGAGGCTACCTAGCTAAGAGGTTTGTAAAGTTTCTAGTTCCGTGTGGTGGGTGCTTGCTAGCAGTAGATATATGCAAAAAAAGTGATGGTTTAAATATCCTTAAAGCTGTTGTCTGAAAGAAGACTACAGTAGCCAACAATTTACTGCAGCCTTCCACCCCTTTCCTTTTAATCTCGCCTCTTGGAATTACCTGGTCATATTGTATGCATTGTCTATAATGAAAATTTCAAACAGATTAGGCAGAAGTTGAGCAGGAGAGGCCTTGGAGGAGAGCCATCAATAATGTTGAAATATTGCTATTTTCTGTTTGTCTGCTTAGAAAAAAAGTGATCTCACCAGCCAAGGGATGGATAAACATCTCTCCAGAAGGATTAATGAAGGAAACGCCATCCTGCCCATCAGCAGAGACATCATCCAGCTGTGATGCATGTCCACCTATAAAAAACAAAACAAAACAATGGAACAGAGGTGAACAGGAGAACAGCACTTTCCATGTCTGGTACTTTTCAAGTAGTCAAATGTATAGTACAAGATGTATAAACTATCAATAAATAGTAACTATAACTAAGGCTCAGATCACTTCCCGAAATGCTCCTTGTCTCTGCTCCTAAAATGCTGTCATTCACAGTGTTTACTTTTCTGGAATACTTTCCTAGTATATAGTCTTGTAGCACTTTTGTTTTGTGCAACTTGAAACAAAAACATTTTAACCTTGTGGTGGAACTGATATGTGTAACAGTGGTGGACACAGCCCCTGAAGCTTAGAGGCTAAGGGCTTAATTTATAAAAATTTCCCTTAGATGGCCCTGATGAGTACAGGAAACTCCTATACTCGCTAGCATCATCTAGGGGTGCTAGCACCTTACAAACTCCATCTGCCTAGCATACGCTGGTTCAGAACTTTTAAAAATTAAGCCCAAAACATCACATCTTCACCAGGAACCCTCCACAAGAAGGTAGGGATTTAGCTGCATGATGCTGAGCCGCAGAGTCAAAAAAACAACGCATTTCGAAGGTTTGGAAAGCAAATTGTTAAATCGTTATGTTAAATGTACTCTAAAGGGTGTGCCACGGATTTAGCTTGATGAAATAAACAAATCAGTGTGGTGCATCTGTTTCTTCCTATACCCGTGGACTTTATGCATGGTGCCTTTTCCCAGGTCCATTTGGGTTTCGGAGCTGCCTTACCAGAGTCACTATATTCTACAACAGCCTTTCTCAACTAGGGTGGCACACTGGGGTGCCTTGAAATTTTTGTATGGTAGGACTCTCATGTGAATAGGAAACTCTGATGTAAAAGGAGGGATTCTGATATGAAAGCGGGGCTCTGATATAAAAGGGGGCTTATGATGTGAGAGGGGTGGCTCCTGATGTAAAGAAGAGCTTCTGATGTGAAAGAAGGGGAACTATGATGTAAAAGGAGGGTGATTCTAATGTAAAGGGGCTACTGATGTGAAAGGGGGACTCTGATGTGAAAGGGGGACTCTTGATTTGAAGGGAGGACTTCAATGCAGAGGATTGAACCCCACTTTTTCATGTATTTTTGTGTGGGGTCCCCCCTCCCACTTACATTCGATTCAGAACAGCACAGCGAGCATTCAACAGATTACCAAGGTTATAATGCAAAGGCCATGAGACTAAACTTATTTTTCAATGCACAAATGAGGGAGATGTCTAAAATACCCTGATCAGCAGGGCCACTGACTTTCTGCACAGATTAAAGCCAGAGCTGGCAGCTACTTATATTGTGATTAATGCCTGGATAATTTTAGTTCTTATTAAACTTATACAGTTCAAAAGTAAAAATAAATAAATATTTTTACATTGGCTTAAAGTGTGCTTCCACATTTTATCTAAAGTGATACTATATTATTTTGCTACACTTGTAAAGCTTTTACAGTATCCACTGCGTCCCTTCAGAAGTTATACAGTTTTGGCTGTTTCTTTTTGATTTTTCCAATAGCCTACAGTAGCCTGTTGAATTACATATCTATGGATTACTCTTAAATATAAAGGGTTTCATGTGCCTGTATTTCTCATCTCAATGCTCATTCAAATGTCCAAATGCACTAAACTTATCCAAGCAAGCACGCTGGATCTGGTAAGGTTGCTCCAACAGCATACCAGGTCTTATTTGGTGGGTACCCAGAAGAAGCTTGGAGTGAAGATATACTGTATATTGAATGGGCGCCAGACCAAATGGGTGACAAATTCCAAGATATTTTCTTCAATCACAAAGGAAAAATGTTGTTGCTGATCACATTACATAACTACAGTCCAGACTGAGAATTCAAACCACACTAAATAACATATTCCCATAGTCCCCGCATTTTTATTTCAAACCATGATGAGCGGTGAGAGTTGTTGCCCCTGAAAAGCACTCACAGTTTTTCCCTTGTGATTGAATAATTAAAGACTCTGGACATTTTCACCCATTTGGTCTGACACTCATTCTATACAGTATGTATGTCTACACTATATATTTCTCACTTGGCAGCAAAAAGAATATAAACATTACCCATGGGTCCTAGTGCACATCAAGGGGAACAACATAGATCATATTAAAGTTTTGCAACATTTAGTGATAGTGAGCATCAACCAACCTTGGTATCCTCCCCCTCCTCCACCAGATGTACATGGACCTCCACCGCCACCAAAGCCACCATAGGTCTCCCACTTAAGAGTGGCCTTTGCCTGGTAGCAGGATTGGCCCCCTTCTGCCCCTTCTAGAAGAGATTTCCCGGTCCATGGCAACTCCGTGATGTCACTCCATCCACCACCTCCACCTGTGCAGACAGCATACAAAACAGTAAATGCCATGTTTAGAGACTATGTTTTTCTAGAAACATGCCAATAGCAGTATACTTTAATTTGCATACACATTTGTATTCAGTTATAACACCAAACTTAACCCTTAACCAGATCCTAATACTAAGGTTTTAGTAGAACTACAGTCTCCCATTTCAAAATATGTGTTGCAGCCCCCAATTATAAGTGCATCCGCAATTACAGTTTTCTCTTAGTCCCTATGCAAAGTCCCAAAAATACCTGTTGATTCTGCCAGTGAAGTTCCCCTAAAACCCCTTTCTGTGATGGTGTGGCAATGATGCTGCACTGCTCATAAACTCAGAGTATAGTTGTGGTCTATGCCTTCTTGCACTACAGTGGGATGAGAAGATCTTACAGGGGGCCTGGTTATCGGTGTCACTGCTGATTCATAAGCCTGTAGCTTGTCATTGAGCACCTGGCCACACCTAGTCCTGTCCACTGCTTTCTGCATTGACAGCACTTCCTCTGTTGATGAAACCCTCCCTCTGTGAGCTGCAGAGTCTGGGAGCTGAGCGTGTGAGACACAAATGAAGAAAGATATGGCTGACTCAAGATAAAACACGTTTTTGGTTTACTTTATGATGGTTGAGCATCACATAGTAACTGGATTTGGGACTTGTTTAGACTGTCATACAGAAACCTTTAGTTGTAGTTTAAACCTCATATGAGATTTAAAGCATGCTACTTTATCATGACAATACTATCATGGATATTTCAGTGGTGGAATTACTATCTTGCTATCTTGACATTAAACCCTCAGATTTTTTTTACATAAACCAATACTGTAATGTGTGCCTTACTGTAATCCATGGTTGTTTCCCTTCTCTTTGCTGCTCTTCCTTTAAAATCCTCATGTCTTCTCATGCTGGGGGAGAACTTCCCTTTGCAGCTGAGTGCCTCTTCCTGTAGTGCTGGCTCAGGTTGCAAACTTACACACAGACACCATGTATCCATTTCAGAGACAAGGCAGTCTGCTGCAAAACAGAAGTTCTGCCCAGCATGAGAAGATACAGATTTAAAAGGAAGAGCAGCAAGAGAAGGGAAACAACCATGGATTACAGTAAGGCACACATTACGCTATTGTTTTATGTTAACAAATCTGAGGGTTTAATGTCATTTTAAGCCAGGGTACAGTATATGAGACAGCATGATGTCTGCTTTGCATATAGAGGCAACACTGAAAGTACAGTCCCCCAAGTACAGTACAGTCCTCCAGCAGAAGGCATTAGCAGCACTTGCTAAGTATTATCAGTCAACAAGTGGTGCTTTGACACTTTGGGATTCTTTACAGAATGTATTAAATTACTCCAATTGGCAAATGCCTTTGTGCCAGATGCCTTTGTCCCCAGGTTTATTTCTCCCCATTCCAAAAGCCAATGTTACCTCATGTTACTATTTAGTATGTGCATAGTGTGCATATTACCCAGCAATTCTGAGTTTGATGACGTAATTAGGCCTGTGCTACGGGGGTGAAAATATACCAGAATGGTACCTATAGTCTTATATCACATACTCGTATAAGTTTGAAAGGGCCCAGAAGAGCCTGCACTGCCCCCTACTTCTATAACTATTTGCCTTTTACACTTTTGGCAAACCCCCTCCCTCCCCTTATTTTACTTGCGGAGGATAAACACATTCATTGGATCTACATGTAGAGTATTATGGTCCATCCAAACTTGTGCCTAATTTTTCCCTTGTGACTCAAAGTTCAGGTATTTAGCAAATTTGCTTACAACATGACAAAAGAACCTTTAAAATCCATCTACACAGCGTTAGTGAAATACAGGTGGAGCGACTGTATTTGATAAGGTATTAATTACCATATGTAAGGCATTACACATCCATCTGTTATTACTTTACCACAAGTCTGCCTTACCATAGAGGCATCAATTTTTATGAGACACTGCTGTGAAATGCACGCTAAACTAGAGGATCAAACACAGACATCACCGCAACGGCTAACAACTTAAAAGATCGTTTAACCTCAATTTTATGGTCATCATAAACTTACGTTTCTCAAATCATATCTTGTATATCAACTATTCCTACTAACTCTCTTTGTAATGGAAAACAGGAGCAATTTTCTAACCCACGAGCGTATTAAACTATAAACGCTCTGTATATTATAGTAAAAGGTTGTGTAATCTTCTGTCTAGGCTTTATGCAGATGAAACACTGGTGGCTGCAGAAATACAACATACATGTGATTGTGACCTGATAATTGCTATCTGTAAATAACATAAGGGGTGTAAAACACATTGGGAGTGAGTCAATAAAATGTTTGCAACACTTTTCTGGTGGTATGGCCCCTTTAAAATATCCTGTGCCCAGTACTGGCACGTGCGGCAGATTCAGGTAGTTCTTATTTGTGCCACTTACGCAATGTGTCACTATTGCTGTGACAAATGTAAAAGATTTACCACCAGTTCATAGATAACGAAAATGGAGATAAATAGGACTAACTCTAAGTGGGCATACAGAGACTGGCATGCAAATGTGGGACAGTTGTGTAGTAAAGAGCAGGACATGTTTGTGCTGGAAGCTGTCATGAATGTGACAGCTTCCTGCTCAGGGTTCATTGGTTGCTAGAAGGCCAGCAATGAAAACAAAACCCATAACCATTATAACATAATGGAAGGCAGTGTCTGAAATAGTGAAATGTTGGGGTTTGTCTCTGGTCGAGTTGCAATGTAGCCACATGAGTAACTCAATCACCTTATTCTAATCACCATGGAATGTGTCAAGGCAGAGGTTGATTGTCCAAGAACATGATGGGAGGCGTTAAAGTCAGGTAAACCACACTGTTATAAATATAAATCAATCCACAGTGTCACAAAGTCTGGGGAAAGTGTTAATCATTCAGGTTTTTCAGGCTGAAGGTTTTAATTGTTGTTGGTGGTGGGAGCTTGTTGGGCTATAAATGCTGGGGTATGATCCTGACACTAATTAGAACTGATGAAGCACCTTGGATGAGCAGATGAGCATCTTTAACATTACAGAAGAAATCTAGTTGAATGTGACTATTAATAGCCATTAGGAAGGGTAGATGGCTGGCTGGCTTTCTATTGGTTTTAGGATTAATGTATTAGCAGCCAAAAGGCTGTTGGTGCATTTCTGATGAGCATTTTTACCACACATACTTCAATATCCAAAGCTAAGCTCATAGGCATATTTTCTTAAAGTAGCAAGCCCTAACTGCTGGAATGAAAAGAGGAGACAGGTGCTTTTTAAACATGTCCCCAAATTGGTGCTGCTTCATTGCTCCCAAAGCTTCCCACCATTGCCTAGTTTTAAATATTGTGCTTCACCTGCCGCTCCACTGTTTCCATTCAGCCCAGGAATTGCCATATTCCTTTCAAATGTCTCTTGCTGTTCGAAATCTGATTCATCATATGGATCTTCAAGATAAGCTTTTCCTCCTCCTCCTGCACCAACCAGTAATGGCATGAACACCCCATTCACCTCCTTCAACAAACAAAACAATACAAATCACTTATGATGTTATACTGATATAGAAAGACACTTATGCAGATAATGTGCAAGCCTGCATGCTGGCGCTGGGCATAGCAAGGCTTCAATTGACCTCCATTTAGAGGAGAGGTCAGAAACCTTTCTAAGCACATGGACAGAATATAAGAGGCCACTTTTCCTCCTTGGCGGCACCTGAAATGAAGGATGCAGATTAGACCCCCAACTAGATTGTGTACACACTGTTCAGCTCTAGGGTTTGAGAAATTGGAATTTGATTTATAACCTGTGCAGCTTGATGAAATTCCTAATCCACACATGGCTATTTAATATATTTCATCTGATATCAAAGTTTCCATAATGTGTGTTTAATAACCAGAGAGTTCATACTGTACAAATGATCCCAAAAAGTTGCTTTGGAGAAATACAATCCAATGAGTCTGTTGACTGGTTGATAAATTGTATCCAACTTCCCAGTGCATTACTTTGACCCAGTCTGGCCAGTATGGTAATCTGTGACATTCCACCTGAAAGGTCCCTCATGCCCTGCCAAGCTAATAATTTGTAAGTCAAGCAAACAGCCGCATACAATGATAAATGTAAAGTATGATTACATTCTCTGTAAAAGACATAATAAGCCACATAATCAAAAGTCTTGTTTTTAAGTATAAGCCCAAACAATATGCCAACCTTGAATACATAGGTAGCTCCACCTCCGCCTCCTCCTCCACCTGCCCAGTCCGAGAGACTGTTCTTCTCTCTGTATTCATCCTCGATGACTGATAGCTCTCCCATGCATATTTTTTGGGTCTTACTATTTTTCTAAGAAATTAAAAGGCATCATTTGTCAATCAAGTGATTAGAAATGGCCTATTTTTTTATGTTTAACTCATTTACCCACATGAAAAAAGTCATTTAAATATAAGAAAACGTGATAGAATACCTTTAATTATTACACAAGCCATTGCAAGTCATTCATGTTTCACTTCTTGCAACCATGGCTATAGTACTCTTTTTGAGGCCATGAGATAATGTGATAATGTGTAATATCTGCCTTATAAGTGGGACTGCTTGTTGTAGACAGAACGTCTCACTAATCATTGTCTTTGAGGATGTACACTGATATGTATAAGAGAGTTGATTCTTAAACTATAAAGCAAAAGTTTACCCCAGGGCATGCATCTTCTCCTTGCTGGCCAACCAGAATATAAAGCAAATCATCTTTCTCTAAGTGGAAGACTCCGGACATGAAGATGCCATGACAGCGCTTGTTGTGGTTTTTCGCTCCTTTACCTCCTGCTGCACCATAAGCAGAAATCCTGCAATGAGAAGAATACATTCACTGACATCTGTGAAGGTTCTCATTCATCCAGGTCATGGTATATCTGTGAAAACATAAATCAAGGCAACCGGACTTGCTGTAGTTTTCTTGAAGACGTTTTGCTGGTTATCTGACTAGGTTTTCCAATTCATTCTGAATTGAGAAGGCTTGTCGGAGAACCAGCAAAACTTCTTCAAGAAAAATACAGCAAGTCAGGTTGCCTTGATTTATTTTTTACAGATACATTCACAGACATTTGTGTCACTTATGATAATCATAACAGGGCTATATAGTGCACATGTAGCCTGGTTCAAGCAAGAAATAAATTAGGAATGGGAATATTTTCTGTGTGGAATAACTTCCTTTTATTAAGTTATAAATTTGTCTGAAAACACACAAAGCAGATGACAAGAGTAATCCTTTTCTGGAGCAACTTCTGTAACGTTAATCAATAAGACAGAACATTACAGACGCCCCAGAGGCTATTCATCAAAATAATGTCACTACTGTCTCAATTACATCATAGGATCTCATTTTAGAAGTTTTCTACTAGAATGATTTGGGGACATAGAAGATTTCTGCAGCAAGTACGTTTTATCACAGTTCCAATTAGCTTTTTTTTTTAGTGGGTTACACGTCCGATGCCATTTTACCCCTGGAAGAGTGGAACAATAACCAGGATAAAGGAATGCCATTAACTGTTCTTGTTTGGAATGATATCCTAAGCGATTCCAGCATGATGTGCAGCTTACCAACACTTGATGGCAGTGGCATCACCAGGGTGCAGGGGGTGACACCAAAATGACTGACAGTGATTTTGATGTCATCCCCCCTGAAATGTCGGGCACTCGGTCATGGGCTGGGAGCCTGACAGTTGTACGAGAGATCAGGGAACCCAGCGGCATACCTTATCCCCTCTCTCTGCTGGCATCCATCACCAAGATGGCCACCGACAGGTAACAGCGTGTGATGTTATCATGCGCGTGCGCAATGTCATCGCGTGCATGATGACGTCATGGTGGGGTGACACCACACCTTGGGATGCTCCTGCCTGATTGTATATCTGGAAATGGCTCTAGCAAGAAAGTATGTAGCCCTAGATACATGTGAATGAAGTCAGGATCCAACCCTTTAGGACAAATTCATGTCATGTAATTAAAATCATGAAAATTAAAACCAAGTTATGCGAATTTGGGAGATATACCAATATCATGAATGTACATTGAGAGTTCTCACTGGACTGAACGCACTGGGAGCTTGTAAAAAATATTGCATGATACTTGAGCTGTAGAGGGGCTTTTGACTCTATTGTCATCCCCTTCCCCCTTCAACTCCATGGGTGAATTTAAACATACAGTAGGTATCAAATATTGTCATCCCCTCCAAAAAAATGTAGACAAAATTTACAAGCATACCTTAGTATGTCTTATCCTGTCTTACCCTGCTGTTTTAGTTTCAGGCTTGTTAGGGTGTTATGTGGAAAATTTGGAAGTATAGATTTATTCTGCCAATTCATCCTTGAAAGAGTGGGAAGCAAATTATTTGTAAAAGATATAGCACATTCTCCAGACCTATTGCCTAGGCCCATTTTTCATCCAAAGCCCAGAGTCTCTGTGGAACAGCCCTTCCTATTCCTACACCCCACCTCTATCACTGTAATCCAGTAATTAGAAGCAGGATTGGGTGCGGTATGCTTATCAAACTCCAGATAGGCTCATGTTAGGGAAGAAGACTAGAGGATGCCTAGGCACTGTCACATATGTGGAAGTGTTCTGCTGCTTAGAACTGGAGTTATATGATAAAGAAACATGTCTTACTGATTTGCAGACCTAAATACATGGAAATTAAGTCAGGCACCAACTCTTTAGGACAAATACATGTCATGAGATTAAAACCATGAAAAGCAAAACCAGGCTATGAGAATTTGGGTAGTATGCCAATGTTCCACTGAACTGAATGGAATTGGAGCTTGTAAAAATGATTGCCTGTTACTTGAGCTGTTGGGAGACTTGCTACTCTGCTACTAGCTCCTGAATCCCCTCCTCCCTCAGCTCCATAAATGTATTAAACCATAAGTGTCCAATAATAGCATCAACCCCCAAAAATGTAGACACATTTTATAGGCATACAATAGTGCTGCCCGGTCTTACCCCACTGTTTTAGGTACAGACCTGTTAGTGTTTTATGATAACATTGTGGTAAATTTGGAAGTGTGCATTTAATATGCAATTTGATCTACAATAGGGTTTAGATGCTACAGTATTTTCTGTCTTTATAGTGGTGTCTGAACAGCAGCATTTCCAGTACAAGAGCAAGGAGCATATTTATTCTTCAATGATCCATGGACTACTTAAGGTCAGCAACAATGTTAGGAGTCATCAACTTCCGCTTAACATGTGTGGGTAGCCATATGTGCTTCTTTGCTTTGGCCATCACAGTTCCTGACACCTTCATTTTTCTGGATAGCCATGCATTTTCAATGCATGCAGTCTCACCATCTACTGGTTAAAATGCAGCACAGCAAACCTAGACTCAGACAACTGTATCCTTCAAAAAGTGGGAGAGTTATTTGTAAATGATACAAATAGCACTTACAGTAAGCATTCTCCAGATTCCTTTTTTGCCTAGGCCCACTTTTTTTCATCCATATTGTCTGTGGAACAGCCCTTCCTAGTCCTAGAGCCCACTCCTATCACTGTTATCCAGTAATTAGAAGCAGGATTGGGCAGGGTATGCTTATCAAAATCTGAAAGGGCCTGGTGTGAGGCTAGAAGAATAGAGGGTGCCTAGGCACTGTCACATACAGTATATGGAAGTGCTCTGATGAGCTGATAAATCCTTGTTGTATAGCCAACCCAAAGCTTTTTAGTATATGTCCATGTTAAGCATACCTGTAATGTCATTAAGTAATCTTGCACATTGCACTGAAACAGCGCCTGAACATACCTCCTGGTCTTTCAGGCTCTTCTATACTCTGATCTGCAGTTCCTGCTATTGCCCTGGTTTCCACATCGGCCTGTGTTCAGATTAATGCTGTTCATTTGTGTACTGCCTGCTCTGACCTCTGCTTGTGTTGTAACTCTGCTCGTCATTGCTGAGCCTGATGAAGGGGACCCTGCGTGGCCCCGAAAGCGTTAGTTTCGGTGACATGACGTTCCAATAAACAAACTCTTTGGACTGCAATACTGGTTGTGTGCTGGTGACATTTATTCATCTTTATGCTGAGGGCGGCACCATCCGCAGGTCACTACAAGCACCCCCCCTCATTCAACTTTGGGTTTTACCGGTAAGGAGTGCGACAAGGTATTTTTTTGTTTGTAACTCTGTTAAAACACCAAAAGCGCTGCCTCTGCCTAAATGTCCCTTGCCCTTGCCACAACTTCTTTATAAGAAAAATCTGACAGTCCTATACTGGGAGCTTCAAGTAAAATTGGAATATATTTATTGAATCTTTATAGCACAAAAGTGATCAAACCATTTTATATCAAAATGCCACCAACCTATGAGAAATTATAGGAATCCAAAATATTTTGTATACATCAATCTTAAAGTATATTTTTAGTTCTCAGAATGAGTCTGGCATATTTTCAGTTATTTTGTGGTAGCTTTACTCACGTGTATACTTTGGTAAATGGGACTCTCCACATCTGGACACTTTTCAGTGGGCCATCTTTTCCAACAATCACAGTATAGTTTTTGTTGCGGTATGCATTGTTACACTGGGCCTGAGTTGGGCCATGTGGTCCAATGGCACCACACGTAGAGAACCGCCACTCCACGCCTTCTTCCTCTTCTATGTGGAAAACCAAAGACAAAACATATTCTGGGGAACTGATTATACACATGATTACACAAATATTTAGTCTTGTTTTAATCATTTGCTTTTGAGAACAGTACAGATACAATCCTACTGCTGGACCCAACCACTCCACATAGAACAAAGTATCTGTGTTAATGTACTTTGACAAGCAGCCAGCTTAAGTGTTTATACATTTGTGTTCAGTTTGCTCCTCTGTACCCCTTTGTATGTCCATGTTAGTTAGGGCAGGCCCAAAGTTTTCCACTACCAACCTTACCGTACTGCTAGTTCAGGATATTTCCATCCAGCCCCAAAGTCAGAAGTGTCAGATGCAAAAAAATGTTATGTTTAAGAAACCCAGGAAAACATCCTCAAAATGACCAAAAGCTAGAATAAACGACATTGGATTCTACTGCCACTGCCTCTCTGCACAGGCTGTTGCTGCAACCTTATGGCCTGCGAAAGAAGGCCCCATAGCTATATGCAGACAGTTGGACAGCCCTGCTCTACAATATTCAGGTGTATCAAAGTTATAAACCAGTGGTTTTGGATGTACAATTGGCCAAGGGGCATAACAAATATTATATACATGGCTCTGTCATCTATTTTAAAATAATAATCAAGACCTTACTTATGCTATTTGTGATAACATGAAACATGTAGATAGCTTTTGTTCTAAGAAGACTTTACTGTGCACTGCACTAGTTCAATGGAGGACCTTTTGGTTCCTCCTCACTATTATCTGACAAGCAATACAATTAAGGAAAAAGAAAACCTTCGAACTACGAATCATAAATCTATATGACACATGAGATAAATGACTCAATGTTGGATTTCTGTTTTCTAAAACACCGTCAGACACTGTCAGGCAATTCCTAAGCACACTAATCTATACCTCTTCTGGCTTTCTTTTATTGACCTGCTTTTTTCACTCGTCCCTAACTTTTCCTATCTAAAAGCAGATTTGCCTCAGCATTTTGCTAAACCTTTGTGTATGAGTAATGCTTGGAACAAGAAAAAGAAGGCAGACCAGTAATAGCTGACACTATATTTTCCTTTAAGTACATACACATTTGTACATTGCAACATTTAGTGTGAGAAAATAACTGACTTGCAGCTTAAATACCAACCGGTGTCAATAGGCTCCGACAGAGGGTTGACAATCTCATCTTCCCATGGGTCTCTCTGACCTGGTCTTTCCTGTTCTCCAGAACTGAATTCTATTCTTCCTGGCACAACACAAAAGATATACTCACAAGCTTATACATGCCTAAAGGTTACACTTTCAGAAGAAAGCTCTGGGAAAGCAATAAAACACTTTGGACATAGAGATCACTATGCAATTCTATATGGCACATTCCGATTGAGGATTACAGATCATGCAGATAGGTATTGCGCTCCAGCTGTGATATTAAAATTCCGCAAGATTTACCTGAATTAAAGCAGTCTGCAGAAAATGTGATGTTATCAACAATGATGTGTGTGAGTGAGTCTCTGCCCCATGTGGCCACCAACTGCATGCGGAATCTGAGGAGACATAACAAAGTATGATTAGTAATGTCAGAAAGACCGGAGGGAAAATTTCCAGCAAGCCATGCAACTGAACACCATAGAAGAAGTTATTATTGTGATCTTTACACCAAACTCAAAGACGATCAACTAGTTCACTTTCTATAGGCTTAGACTGGAAGAAATGTAAGCAGAAAACTTAAAGATGTACTGATTTGTCCTCACGTGTGTGTTGTCTTGTAAAGCATTTCACCGATGAACTTGTGACATATATGGAGGCCTGTTTGCATGAGTAGGGTTCATTAATATATTCTGGTCCAGAAAGACCTTCGCTGACATGGTACTGGGAGCATGATTCAGACTTTGAAGACATTATAGAATGCTATATTCTATTTTTGTACCAGCGTGTATATATATATGTAGCCACCCTGTTCTAAGGAGTTACTGTTTCAATTTGTTTTTTACTATGCTGTTATGAGTCTAAGATGAATTGATAGTTTAATTTTAGATGCCCTAAGCTCAATCTTATCGTTTGCTTCTGCCTGCTGTTGGGGTGTGTCCTTGGCAATAGAGCAAGAAGATACAACAATGTTGAGTTCTAATTATTTATATCACCATGGCCAATCACTAGGAGGTTTATTGCCAGTGGAGTTGGCTGGTAAAGGATATAAATATTCGGGAAGCACTCTTCCCCCTCAGGCCTCCTGCCTGGGGTTGGTTCATGCTGGAGGTCTTACAGATCCAGTCCTGCTGCCTAGGGACAGCTAACATTTACTGTTCAACTAAGGCCTGAGTCTGGGGCTTCTGCTGCAATGGCCTTGCTCGAGGGTTTTCCCATGGGGAGTGAAGCCTAAACCTGGGAAGTTTCACCAAGAAGGGACTTTGGTTCAAGGTGTCTAAAAAGTCAGAGTTGGGCTTTGACTTTAAAGGAAGTTGGCGTCTTATATAGTTGTTCCTGGATAAGATATAATAATCCTGGAAGAACACAACTATAAAGCTCTAACGGCAGTGGTGGACAATGTGCTGCCACAAGCAGTCTATTTTGTTATTGTTTTTCATTCATTTGTGTTTTCGTACATCCCTACATTTTACCCCCACTATTTTGTGTATTTTGGTACAGCCCTTAGTTAGACACTCTCTGCTAATCCTTCCCATTTCCTTTTCATCCTCTCCCTCGCTGTGTCAAGACCCACATTTTACAAGGCTTTAGAGAGAAATGTCTTTTCCACTCCAAGAAATGAGAAGGAATCACATCCTCTGTGTTGCCAAGCCTAAATAAACCACATACGGTTTTAATCTGAGTTTTCTTGATGAGTTGGGCCCTGCCTGTGGATACCATCAACTCAGTAGGTTGTCATATTGTCCGGACAGATGGAATCTCAGGATTCCATCCAACCATTGATTCATGCAAATACATAAATCGGTGTTTGAGACAGAACAGACAAAGTTACCAAAGGGCCCTAGTTTTTTTTTTACACCTCTCCAGTTTAATATATACAGTATAAGATATAGTCAATTCAGTCCTAAAGCTTTTTTTGTGGCTAAAATGATGTGTCTGCACAAACCTGTTATTGAACTGAGGAATCTTGAATGTTGATGAAGACCAAGAACCACTCTGACTCCCTTCTGTCTGCCATAACTTAGCTGTGTCCGTCCCAGTATTTTCTTCCTGGGAATACACTGCCAGTGTTCCATTGAAGGTGCCATATATAAGGAACTTCAAAGTTAACTAAAATATACAGAACAAACAAGCTGTCACACATATATCTACAATAGTGTTTTAAATCAGATTTATAAATAGCCCCCAGGAAGTTTCCAGTTATATTTCTCTACTGTAGGTTTGAAAATAAAGAAAATCACAATTCCTCCACTTATTTCTTTAATTATTTCAGTAAAGTACATGTAAGTCCTAAATGAATGGTGTTTAGTTTGTTGAAGCAGCTTTCTGTTTACAGGTACTCTAGTGCTGGCTGCATCGCATTACCCAGGACAGGTTTACGGATGGTGACAACAGTGGATCATGCCTGTGGAATGTGGGTTGAAACAGTCACCTGTAGCCTCCATTGGAAGCCCATGTGTCAGGGTGACAATGCAGAAGAGCAATTCAGAGACAATAACAGAGTGTTGTCACCAGGGACATCCCTACAAATTTCACCTCTTGAGGCCGTGGGTGTTGCTGGCGGTGTATGTTACGGGGGGAGGCTCCTGGGGAGTGATGATGTTGGCGGCACAC